GACCACCCACAGTGGGATCTGTGCTTTTCACATGAATATAAATGTGATATTGATGGGAAATCTTTCCCCGGAGAGAGCAAAGAAAAAGACGGAGGAAGTTAAAGGGAGAGTGAGAATAAATGAGAGGGAGGGAGAGGGAGCAAAAGGAGTGAGCACTCTGGTTCGATTCACACCGTTAAACCATCTGAAGCATCCACTGGTGACTACCGCTTGATGAGCCGGCGCGAGCAGTGTGTTATCATAAACATTTGGGATTCACTTCATGGAGGCACTTTAATGACGCTTTTAGCATAATTTCCCCACTGTAATGTGAAGTGAAGGGCAAGCAGCGCCTTTCTGTCTGCCTGCAGCTCGGGTGAAGCGTATAAATATTGGTTATTGGGACGAAGGCGCACTGCACCACAGACTTCTTTCCTACTGCCTTAAACCGGGACACTGGCCAGAAACTCTACAAGATCAATACCACTGATTTGATTGACGGCTTTGTGAGAAATAACTCACCATCAACACATGGTCTCCCTCAACCAATCATGAATGGCAGCTTATTTGTGGCTCGAAGCTTTAAAATTTGACAATCTAGAAAACAAGTCAGGCTTCTTTCACCTTCAAAATAAAGCTTTAACGTAAGCAATCATAAAGAGGCAACATCCAAATACATCACATTTTTTGACTTTTGGATGCATTTTTAACTGTTTACGTTGATTTATGCATGTGTTATATTAAAAACCATTCCTTGGTTAACACACTATTCATCAAGCAATTTAATTCAACCATATTTGTATTTTTTTACAAACCGAAAGCCACCAAATAAGGACTTTACATCTCCTTAGACAACATCACCTGAATTAAATGCCCCACCTGGACAATAAGCTAGAGACAACATCATGAAGGTGGTATCTGTGAGGCATCAGGCTACTGATCAGGCTGCAACATTTGAGAACTTGCGATTAAGATCAGGCAAGTTTATGGCATAAATTACTTATTTTCTTCTCTTTTATAATCTGTCGTTAAAACCAACAGTGAGAGAAAGAAGTCTTGGACAGGCCAGAAATCCCAAGTTGGAAACATTTTTTTTTGGAAGATAATAAGTAAAGAAGTAACATGCACCTTCACAAGCGTCACAGCATATTAGGTCAGATCTGAGGAAAGCAAATGTCAGCTAGAAATGTAAGTATAATACATATGTATGGCTTCAAAGCAGGATGTAGAATGTTAAAAAAATGTTTTTGCATTCTTCGCCGTCTTGTATGAAAAAGACAAGCATGGACAAAAAGGGAAAAGGAAGTGAAAAAGGACATCTTTGTTTTCATTCAGGCTTTTATCAGCAGAAGCCGACTGCAGCCAGAATGGGGAGGGATGATTTCCATAAAGACTGGCTGTTGTCTGAAAGCAAGCAGCTGTCAGGCGGAATTACCTCTCCGACACAGACACCACAATCGAGGGTGCCCTTCCCATAATTCAGTCTGATTGGCTCAAGGGGAAAATGGCAGCCTGTGGAGAGTGAGGCCAGCGGCTGCTTGACAGGTTTGCATTTGCGAATCCCGACGTGGCTTTTACCCGTTATCATTCTGTCTGCTCAACGTGTCAGTTTCCCTTGTTCGGAAAGCTACCTGAACATCGTGACAGAGAGAATGGAGTCCACTGAGTGAAGAGGTAAATGTGTTAACTCACGCACACATACACACACATTCATGTCAAGTGGATTCATAATTTGTTCCAAAAAATGTGTTGTCTGCTAACCTATAATAGATATTTGCTAGCCAGGTTTTTATATGCATGCATGCTTATCCATACAATATATTAATTTATAATACTTAACACTAACAGCTTTCATATCTGACCTCTTAACTGTTCATTTTAGTCTCTGCACACAAGTACATGTGGCTGATAATGTTTGAAGAGCAAAGTTAGTCATTTTTGGCCAAAAGTTGTTTATATTCAACCAGCATTGTTGAAACACTTACGTCAACACACATTTTGGATGTAATGTCAATTTCGTCAATGCTGCTTTCATGGCTTATCTCTATGGATAGAATTAGAGCAGGTGTGATTAGCCTAGCTTAGCATAAGTATTGGAAATAGAGGGAAACAGCTTTACAACATTTGTCCAAAAGTTATCATAACAGCTTCTAATAAAAGTTTTTCTCTACTTTATACCTGATTAACTAACTCTTTGTAACAAGGTAATGAAGTCTATTTTCCAAATTCTCAAAAATACAATTGCAATGCAGGGTGAAACAGAATTACTAATTCAAAGTTTTTAAAATCGATGTTTTGATTGTCACAAAACAGTCCAACAGATTTATACTTTAAAATCACAAAAAGGGAGTATGGCTGTGTTAATGTTCCTGAAAATAATAACATAATAAGTGTGTAAAATCGTATGTGCACAAGCTGGGCACTTGCAAACATGTTCACTGTCAAGTTCAAGCAAAAACCTACTCACACACACGCACGCACGCACGCACGCACGCGCACGCACACACACACACACACACACACACACACACACACACACACACACACACACACACACACACACACACACACACACACACACACACACACACACACACACACACACACACACACACACACACACACACACACACACACACACACACCACACACCACACCTATGCTAAGTGCTCTTATCTGTGACTTGTGTAGAGGTGAGTGACAGGCAGGGAGGCACAGGGGGGAAGTGTCCTTTAGGTGTCTTAATTATGGCTCCTCTCCTCCCTCTTGCTGTCACCATCCCCCGGGGAGGGCAAAACAAAAGGAAGGCAATGTTTCATCTCTGCTGCCTTGGTATTTCAAATTCCAAGGAGAGTAAGAGGAGAGCGACGGCAGGCTGTTACACTGGAGGAATAAGACGAAACCAAGTGACGCTTTCCTCTCTCTCTGCTCTGCAGCTGTGTTTAAAATAAGGCCCCATAATACAAGCGTTTTAATGGCGTCAAGGCAGGAAAAAGGCGCAACTTGATTACTGTGACGGTTTTATTTAATGAGCTCAAAGCCTCTGGCTCTGACTTGCTATTCCTTTATTACTTTGTTGTGGGGAGATATATGTGACAGAAGGGAGCGGAGGGAGTGGGAGAATGAGGCGGAATGCTCTTATTGTGGCATTACCAATCGTCTTCTTGATTTACACCTTCTTGAATGTGCACCTGGGTTTTTCATCCTGCCACGGCAGGGGAATGCTGTTCTGCCATGACAGAGACACCTCGGCAGGTAGACAGACACAAAGACAGCCTGCTGTTCATTATTGATTGGAATAAATTGCACCTATTGGATGTTTTGCGGGGCGACACGAGGTGGGTGTGAATGCGAATGTGTTTCCCAATATGTGAATATATGTGAGTACAGAAGAACCAGGGTTAACCACAGGACGAGGAGCTGATGGAGTGATAGTCTTGACACTTGCTAAAGAGACGTTAAAGAGACGTAGAGGGAGTCTATAAAAGCAAACTGCTCCTTTATGTCCCTCACTAGTGTGATAAAAAGAACACAGCACCCAATAATACTGGCCTTTCCATTTTATGAATAGAGCATGGAGTTGCTAAAAAACAAGCTACTTTACATAAATGCTAATGGGAAATGATTTTGTGATTGTGCCCCCTTCTTACAAACACACATACATGGAAAAAAAAACATTCTTAAAAAGGTCAGCTCTTTGTTTTAAGGGACAAGACCTCGCTGATGATAATATTGACTGAGTAAAGGGGAGCGATGCAAAGTGTGGTCTTATAAGGAGAAAGGCAAAGAGCACGGCTTCTTATCTGTATTCTGAGTGCCCGGCCTCTTATAAATATTGGAAGAAGGACACCAGCGGGGGAGAGGAAAGGGCCAAATGGCGCATTTGAGAAATGGCACACCTGAGCACCGCACGGAATATCATCTCCTCCCGTCAGATCTCATCCCATTTGATCAAAATAATTGCCGCCTTCATCGTTGTCATCAATTCTGTCATCTTCAGCGGCGCCATCGCCATTCTCCATCTCATCATTTGGCTTCGGGGGTGGGGGGGATTTTGGATTAGATCAAATGCGGACCATCTTGTCTGAGAAAATCACTCATGGTGTATCGTCATAGTAATCACCATATTCATTGCTTTAATGCTACTGACATTTTGTTCACCTATTTAGATATTCTGACACCTGCAAATCATTGGCTGGTTCAAAAATAGCCTCGTCGATCACAGACATCCTAGAGGCCCTGCTGTGCATTAGATTATGATGATTCCCTGTGCAGTCAGCAAGGGAATCAAACATTGGGAACAAAAAACAATAACCCTAACCCTAACCCAGTATGAACCTCGCTACCTTGGACTGAGGCTAAACAGACAGTCACAATCTTTAAATACAAGATTCTAAGGGTAACAGTTAAATAATAACATTCCCCCTCAAAGTCATACATCTCAGTTTGTACTTCTCACACAGCTCGTCTCATCTGCTTCCACTTTAGCAGCCTAATAATCCTGCACAACAGGACAAGCGGTCAGTCAAACATCAATTACAAACAGGACCAGTTGACATGGAATAATACAAATCACACACATGTATTCTCATACACAACTTCATCCACATAACCACTTGAAACAAACCACCCGCACATGTTTCAGCAAAGTCTTGATACTGGATTTCACGAGGCAACAGCTCTGACCTGTCACTTAGTGCCAGGGACATAAAACAGACCTGCATGCACCACAGTGGCCTTTAACTTGTCATACGATACACAAACGCAGTTACAAGCCCACATTTAAGAGTTGTCTTACACTGGGGAAGATGTTTTTCATTCAACAGCAAAGCTCTGTGGAAAATGACTTTCTATAAAAGTGTGTTTATGGACAAAACCAGTTGGCATGTGGGAAACTTTCAGATCCACTCAAACCTATTAAGTGTGTTAAGTGCACAATATCAAATCCCTGGAGGGAGCTGAAAGTGCAACAACTGCTAATAAGAACGCACGAGGAGGAGGTGTTTTGGAAAAGTTCTTACCTTGGCCATTTGGGCCTGCACCCCGGTGGCTTTGAGAGACGACACAGCCTTCTGTGCTGCAGCTGGGCTGTCAAAATCCACAAAGCCATAGCCTGGAGAGAGAACAAAAGAGAGGGGGGAAGACAAAAAAAATCAAGCTTCAGTTCTGTAGAAATTAAGGCAGATGACTAACAAGGAGACTGACAGGCTCTTGGTAATTGTAGCAGTAATAGGTCGGTAACATGACTACAGAGGCTGCCAGTTCTCATATCTGGTGAGCACTACATTGTTTGATAATTAGCGACATTGACGTTCATAGGGGGATGCTATGCATCTTAATTAGCAGCATGGATGAGCGATTTAGTAATAACAAACCCCGGCACCCTGCCCACCTCCACCTCCACCTCTGACTCCACAGACAGATGCAAACACACACACACACACACACACACACACACACACACACACACACACACACACACACACACACACACACACACACACACACACACACACACACACAAACCCGATAGCATGCAAATCAAAAATAAAGGCCATCAGTGTTGAAGAGAAATTCTTCTTTGCTGCATAGTTTAATGAGACTCCAATGCATTAATTTCACCCAGTAGAATAATTCATGGAATGGTAATTTTCTAATTGAAAGTCCATGATTAAAGGAGTAGCGCACACACACACACACACACACACACACACACAGTCTTTTTCAGCCTTTTGATTTTCAGAGACTGTGAAGTTGGCTGGCCCACATCGCATTCCTCAACACCCGGCATATTATCACATCCCCATTTCACAGCCTCCATAATCCTCTCCACGGTAACAAATCTCTCAAAGGTTGACAGCATACCAGTGATGCTGACATTTCTCTCTCTCTCTCTTAAAATACAGCTCTTTTCCATGCATATAAACACTTAAATATATTTCTCACAAATCCAGCCTTTCTGTCCATCTTTCATGTCTTCCGCTGCCCCACTCTGCCTCTTACACGATCTTTCAGAGTCTTTCTCCCTCCTTCAGATTTTCCCCGACATTAACAGCCACCAGCCCCCATCTGGAAATTCATCACAGCGAGGGAAGCGGTGGGGAATGAATTCTGTGGCTGTGATTTATGAGTTATTGTGATCCCGACGTTCGGCGGGATGTATCGGAGACGGGGGTCACGTCTGTGTTAATTAAAATTTGGTGGCAGATTAAAAGCAGTCAATGGCGCCCTCTGATCCGCTGTTTCAGAAGGAAAGTGTAATTAGAAAAGGATAATGGGTGTGAGGCAGGGAGAGACTTGCGGCCGAGGTTACCCCGTCATGTAGTAACTCAGATGTGAGCGCACACATAATACTTTATTTTCTCATGTGCAGTTTCCCTCCAACAAACGCCTCACTATGGAGATGTAAGCGTGGCTGAGGTGGTTAGGGGGAGGAGGAGGGTGTTAGGGTCATTTCCCTGCCTGATGGAGGTAAAGGAGTGTGGAGTAATGTGAAAATCATAACCTGTGGCGGAGGAGAATTGGAGTGTGATTGATTAATGGCCGGCTGCTGGAGTGCGGCTGGGAGAGATCGGGCCCTAATTGTAGAAATATGAAGAGCCAGAGTGAGCGATTCAAATACCTGTGACTGTCCGTCAAACTGAACTCTCTCTTCAAAAAGTAGATATTATCAAGTGTATTTTTTTAAACAGGAAGCAAGGAGATAGCGCATTCACCAACTTGGCCTATTTGGTCAGTAAAAGACCAAAAAGAGATGAAGAGAAAAAAATGACAATGTGTGATGAATACTGCGATAACAATATGAAGAACAATAAACTAAACAAAACTGCATATTGGCTATAACTCAAAGATGTAAAGATATATATGCTATTATTCATGTATCCCATGTTAGCTGTGTTTGCAACCTATCCCTCCTGATTACAAAATAATCAAAAAAAGCATTTTTTAGCTGATAGCTAGCTTGATGTTTAGCTTTATAAGACTGAATCAACGTGGGGTGAAAGCATGCCATTACACCCAGCCTCCATCTGAAAGGTAAAACATATTCATGCTTACTGAAAGAAACTTTTTTTTTTTCATTTATTGTGATGAATTCAGGCTTGTGTGACGTGTTAATTGTACATGCTAAAATCACAATATGAAATTGTGATCCATTGCACAGCCCTTGAAGAGAGTCCTTTCCACTCAAATACAAAAAAACAAAACACACTTTTTCTCTTCGCTTCAGTCGTATCTAGCCATGCTCATAGTTTAAATATTCTCTAGCCAGGAATGATGATCTTTTTCCAACACTATTCCCTCCTTCCAAATATAATAGAGGTGGATTTTGGCAGTTAAGGAAGTGAAACATGTGTATTTTCACAGTCTCCCTGTTACAGCAGATATTCCAAACACCCCGTTGTGCACAGGTTTCATGGAACTACAGATGGGTGACAGACAAACAACACAATCTGTCTTTGTCAGGCCAACAATCACATCTCCAACAAGCCTTGGCATAGACTGTTAAGTGGTATGCACACACGTCCTCGAAGATATGTCCTCGTTTGGTGTTTTTCATGATTTAATATTCAATGTTTATAAAGTAAAACCAGTAACTAACATTTCACTTGCAGGTTCTCAAGGAAAGCTTTGATAAATTGTTGCTTTTTTCTCCTGGGTCTTTTTGTGTTCTTAAATATTGTAAAGCTGGCAAAAATACACACCAACCCAGGGATGTCCTTAAGCCATTACATCACAGCATCATTTCCCCTCTGCGTAAGTAAACAAATGTCATGCCTACAAGTCACACTTCTTCACTGTGGGACAGCTCTAAGATGCTAACTCACGTCAGATAGTTAACAAACAAACAAAACAATGCCAGGCTTGTATAGGAGCAGCGAGGAGGTCAAGTCCTCATCGACACCACTCACAAAAATAAAGACCTTTCCTAACCTGTGAGTCAGTGCATGACCAAGGGGGGCTCTCAGAAATCCACTGAGCACTGTCGCGCCAACACACACACAAAACTGGACAAACACCGCTGAACTAAACCAGTTGTTGAACTAGAGTTAAGACCCCCTCGTTTAGGCGATCTCAGCTCGCTTGTGTTGTTCCACATCACAGTGGGATTGCTGTATTCATATATGACCTGAGCTACAACTCCTGTTTAGGAAGAACCTTTCCAAACGATCCAGGTGTAAGAGTATCCTTAATGAAATCAATGATAAATAATTTGGTTTTCATTTTTGTAAAATTCCTAAATTCCTTCAAAACCACTTACTTAAATTATTCATCTTGATGAAAAAAACGAGTGTGGCTTCTATTCTCAGGAGCTGTTCTGATGCTGACGGCTGTTGAGCACAGTGATGTCTGAATGAAGGCTGTAGTTGATGTACTCTCACTTATACTGGGGCTTCTCAGTAACATATCTCTCTTTATTGGTTGACAGTGCATGCCAGCATGTCATTCACTTTTGGACTCTGGATTAAATTGTTGAAGAAATACCATTTTACTTGTTTCTCCATTTATTTTTTATTTGTTTTCAGGGTTCTATGTTCATCATGGCTCTGAACATATAGAGTAACAGGGATACTGTTTATTGAAAGAGACATTGCTGTTGAATTTTTTGTTTGTACTACATTTTTATTGGTGTGAGCACCACAAAGAGATGGATGTCTCTGTGTAAACATGACCAAGAAAAACAAAACTAGGTTACACACCACCAGAGGGAAGTGTTTGTGTGATTTATGGGAAAGAACCCTTTAAACAGTAAAATAAAATAAAAACATATTGTTCTTTGGATTTGAGAATATATTAACAGCACATTAAGAGAACCACAGAATGTTGCTGAGGCTCTCTAGGCGATGGCAGATTATCTTTAATAATCATAGGATCCCTAATGTGGACACTTGGACCCACACAATATAATATTCTGCCGACTACCACCTGGAGTGCACTTATCAAACTTTCAGCAGGATGAGGATTTTAGAGAATGCTGACCTATATTCATGTGGCTCTAAATGGAGGAAGAAGTGAGAGGAAGGAGGAGAGAGAGTGCTCTAAAGAGAGGCAGAGTGAGGACGGGGGTTATTTGGGGTCAGCTGACTGCACTGAAGAAGACTGAACTGACACTCAGCAAGCTGCCTGCAGTAATAAATCCAGTTTGCTCCTCGCCTGTGCTGTTATTGTGGATGATATGAGTGTAATGACTCTCTAATATGGGATGTTTGATTTGTAGCAACAGGGTGAAAATCTTAAAGGCAGGTTCAGTTGGGAAAAAGAGAATAATAATTGAAAGACAGATACGTCTAGCTTGTGCTTCTATCAGGCAAGATGATTGTGGAGCTGAAGGAACAGTCAGAGTCTTTGTATGAATGTGTGAACTCTGCTTTAGTACTTAATTACTTTCAGTATGAAACTTACTGCTCCAGCTGTATAGTGAAGGAATCCTAGGTCGACACATTTCATTTCTATAAGCTGCTCATAAAAGGGACATTTACAAAAACAATAAAGCAGCTTCGCTACATGCGTTCCTATTTTTATCATCATTTTGAAAAGAAAATTGAAGCATACTTGGATATATTTGTTGGAGCAGCATCAAAGCTTCATGCCTTTAGGCAGCAGCTGACTGACATGAAAGGTCCAGCGTTGGTGTGTATTCAGGGATAATGCACAGTGAGTGTGTTGTAATGTAGAAGAGAAACACTGACAGGGTGACGCACAGATGTGTTATCTCTTCCTCAAGGGGTTTATTGTCAGTCAAACAACTTACCTACCGTACTTTATATCACTTATTACACAGCTTTTAAAAAAAAAAAAGTAATTCAATGCACAAACTTGACCTGAAATATATCACCCATCTGTAATAATCACCCTTTTATACCAGCTAGGATTGACCCACGATTTGCATCTTTGTCACCCACTTATACATTAATGATGTTTTTGCCAGTTTCGACCAATTACGTTCTGCATTCCATTTAAATGGCTCAGACTTCTTTCGATATTTTCAGCTCCGTGATTTTGCTAGGACCCACTCACCGGCATTTCCTCATGTTCCAAACCCCAGTGTCATTGATTTGGCACTCAAGGCAAGAATCTTGCCCAAAGGTCAGGTTTCCTTCCTTTATGACCTCC